GAAGATGACAATAGGTGACAACAATGACAGTATGAAGACAACAAATAAATGGGAGGAAGACAACAATAAATACTGAGTAATTGAAGACAACAACAACAATAATGAGTAATGTTGGGAGAGATGACAATAACAATAAATTTATGAAGACAAATAACAATAACTGAGAGAATTATAGAGACACAACAACAAATATTGAGTAATGAAGACAACAACAATTGGGTTTGTCAATTGAGTAAATGAAGACAACAACAACAACAAATGAGAATTTGGGAAGACAACAACAACAATGAGTAAGAAGACAACAACAATGAGTAATTTGTGAAGACACAACAATGGTAATAACAATTGTATAATTTAGATGACAACAACAACAATAGAGACAACAACAAATTATAATTTAAATAATGAGTAATGAAGACAAATAAATAACATGAGTATTTAAGATGACAACAATAACAACAATTGAATGGGGAAGACACAACAATATGAGTAATAAATGAATAAATAATAATTGAAAGTATGGATGACAATCAATGAATAAATCTGGAGTATTTTGGGATGACGACAACAACAACAATTGAGTAATTTAGATTACAACAATTGGGGCAACAACATGAGTAATTTAGACAGTGACAACAACAATAATATAATGGAGTATAATTGGGAAGATGACACACAATAATGAGAAGATGACAACAAATAATAACAACAATGAGAATTGAAGAGACAACAATATAAATAAATAATTTGAGTAATTAAGAAACAACAATAATCTGAGTAATGAAGATGACACAAATACTGGGAAGACAACAACAAATAATTGGAGAATTTGGGAAATAACAACAACAACAAATACTGAGAATGAAGACAACAACAAATAATAACTGAGTAATTTGGGGAATATAACAAATAAATTGGGGGGGTTAATGGGAGGAAGACACAACAACAACAATGAGAAGACGAAATAAATAGATAATGGGAGAGAGAACAACAATAATATGACAAAATTACTGAGTAATGGGAGAGACACAACAATAAAAATACTGAGTAATGAAGACAAATAATAAATATAATGAAGATGACAACAACTGATTAGAAGACACAACAACAATAACTGAGTGACAACAAATAAATAATTGAGTAATGGGATGACAACAACAAATAACTGAGTTGGACAACAAATACTGAGTAATGTGAGACGGACAAATAAAAAATAACTGAGTAATTTAAAGACGATGTCAACAACAACATGAGAAGACAACAACAAACACAACAACAACAAATACTGGGAGAATTGGGGAAGACAACAACAACAATGAGTAATGGGGGAAGAGACACAATCTGGGAAGAACAATGAGTAATGAAGACAGAAACAACAACAACAACAACATTGAGTAATTGGGAAGACAACAAAAAAAACAATTGAGAAATTTGAGAAGACAACAATAACAATTGAGAATTTAAAGATGACAACAACAACTGGAGTACTTGAAGACAACAAACAAAAATAATGGAGAATTTTGGGAAGATGACAACAATGGGTAAGGTTAACAAATGGGGGTTACTGGAGAATTTGGGGGAAGACGACAACAAGCAAATAACTGATTTGCAACAGACAACAACAACTGAGTAATTTGGGAAGAGCGATGACAACAAATACTGAGTAATTTGGAAGACAACAATAACAACAATAAATTGAGAATTAAGATAACAACAACAAAAATTGGAGTACTTAAAGACACAACAACACTAACAATAAATGAGTATTGGAGAATTAATATAAATAACAACAGCAACAACAATTGGAGTAATTAAAGACAACAACAACAACAACACTGAGAATTTTGGGAAGACAACAACAACAATTATAATATAACTACAATAACAACTGAGTAATTTGGGAAGACGACAATAACAACTGGATAACTTGGGAAGACAACAACAACAACAACTGAGTAGAAGACAACAACAACAACAATCGAGTAACTGAGGAAGACAACAACAACAACAATTGGAGTAATGTAAGGCAACAACAACAACAACTGAGTAATCAGAAGACAACAACAACAATTGAGTAACTCAAAGACAACAACAACTGAGTGATTTGAAGATGACAACAACAACTGAGTAACTTAAGACGACAACAATCAATACTTAAAGAAACAACAATTGAGTAACTTGGGAAGACGACAACAACAACACTGAGTAATTGGGAAGAGACAAGCAATCAACTGAGTAATTTAAAGAGTACAACAATAAATAACTGGAGTATTTGGGAAGACAACAACAACATCAGCAATTGAGTAATTTGGGAAGACGACAACAAACAACAACTGGAGTAATGTGACAACAAATAACAATTGGAGAATTTAAGGAAGACAACAACAATGAGTAATAGATAACAATAATCTGAGTAACTTGGGAAGATGACAACAACAATTAGAATAACTTGAAGACAACAACAACAACAATAACAATTGAGAATTTGGAAGACAACAACAATGAATTGGAGTAATTTGGGAAGACAACAAATAACAACAATTGGAGTATTAAAGAGGCAACAATAATAACAATTGGAGTAACTTAAAGACAACAACAACAATTGGAGTAATTTAAAGATGACAAACAACAACAATTGGAGAATTTAAAAGACAAATAAAATAACAACAATTGGAGTAATTTGAAGACAAATAAATAACAGCAACAACTGGAGAACTTTAGGATGACAACAATAAATAAAGATAACGAAGACAACAACAACAACAACTGGAGAATTTGGGAAGATGACAACAATGGATAATTTAGAAGACAACAACAACAACAATTGGAGAATTCTGGGAAGACAACAACAACAACTGAGTAATGAAGACGACAACAACAAATAACTGAGTAATTGGAAAGATGACAAACAACAAATAATTGAGAGTACTTGGGAAGACAACAACAACAATTGGAGTACTTAAATAACAACATGGAATAACTAAGTAATTAGAGGAAGACAACAACAACAATGAGTAATTCAAGACACAACAACAACAATTGATAATTTAAAGACAACAATAACAACACTGAGTAACTAAAGACAAAATAACATGACAGCAACAACTGGAGTAATGAAGACAACAACAAATAACAATTGGAGTATTTGAAGACAACAACAACAACTAGGAGAATTTAAAAGACAACAAAAACAACAACTGGGAGAACTTAAAGACAACAACAACAACAACTGGAGTAATTGAAGACGACAACAACTGGAGAATTTGAAGATGACAACAACAATAACTGGATAATTACAACAACAACAACAACAACAACAACAACAATTCTGGAGTAACTTGGAAGACAACAACATACAACAACAACAACAACAACTCTGGAGTAATTGGGAAGACAACAACAACAATAACTGGAGTAACTTGGGGGAAGACAACAACAACAATAACTGGAGTAATTTGGGAAGACAACAACAACAATAAATAGGAGTAACGGGAAGACAACAACAACAACTTGCTTGGAGACAACAGAACAACAACTACAAACTGGATGACTGGGAAGACAACATAACAATTCAGGTAGTAGGGAAGACAACAACAACAACAACAGATGACAGAGGAAGCAACAACAACAACAACTGGGAGTAGCGGGAAGACAGGCAGCAACAACAACAACTAGATTACATGGGAAGACAACAACAACAAATGGCTACGAGTAACTTGGGGAAAGACAACAACAACAACTGGAGTAACTTGGAGGAACAACAACAACAACAACAACAACTGGAGTAGCTGGGGAAGACGACAACAACAACAACTGGAGTAACGGGGACAACAACAACAACAACTGGAGTGACAGGGAAGACAACAACAACAACAACTGGAATGGAGGAGAGACAACAACAACAACAACTAGATGACAGGGAAGACAACAACAACAACAACAGATGGCAGGGGAAGACAACAACAACAACAACAACGATGGCAGGGAGAAGACAACAACAACAACAACTGGAGTGACAGGGGGAAGACAACAACAACAACAACTGGAGTGGCAGGGAAGACAACAACAACAATAGCACTAAGATGACTTGGAAGACAACAACAACAACTAGATGACAGGGGAAGACAACAACAACAACAACTGGAGTAACTTGGGAAATGGCAGGGGAAGACAACAACAACAACAACTATAGATGACTTGGGGAGACAAACAACAACATCTGGAATGTGAGGGGAGAAGACAACAACAACAACAACTAGATAACTTGGGGGGAAGCAACATGTAACCAACTAGAATAGCAGGGAAGACAACAACAACAACTGGAGTAACTTGGGGGAAGACAACAACAACAACAGGGTAAATTGGGGGAAGACGACAACAACAACAACAACAACTGGGAGTAACTTGGGGAAGACAGCAACAACAACAACAACTGGAGTAATTTTGGGGAAGACAACAACAACAACAACTGGAGTAACAGGGAGAAGACAACAACAACAACAACTGGAGTACTTGGGGGAAGACAACAACAACAACATCTGGAGTGGCAGGGAGAGACAACAACAACAACAACTGGAGTAATTGGGGAAGACAACAACAACAACAACTGGAGTAAGCAGGGGAAGACAACAACAACTACTGGAGTAACTTGGGGGAAGACAACAACAACAGCTTGGAGTAACTGGGAAGACAAGCCAACAACAACAACAACTGGGTGGAGGGAAGACAACAACAACAACATCTGGAGTAACTTGGGGAAGACAACAACACAACAACAACAACAACTGGAGTAACTTGGGGAAGACAACAACAACAACAACAACTGGATAACGGGGGAAGACAACAACAACAACTGGATGGCAGGGAAGACAACAACAACAACAACTGATAACAGGGAAGACATTAACAAACTGGAATGCTGGGGAAGACAACAACAACTAGATGAGTAACAACAACAATGACTAGATGGCAGGGGGAAGGAAGACAACAACAACAACAACATGGCAGTAATTCTGGGGAAGACAGCAGAACAAGCAACATCTGGAGTAGCAGGGAGAGGAACGACAACAGCAGCATCTGGAGTACTTGGGAAGACAACAACAACAACAACTGGGTAACAGGAGACGACAACAACAACAACTAAGGTAATAACAGGGGAAGACGACAACAACAACAACAACAAGACAGGAAACGACAACAACAACAGGGAAGACAACAACAAGACAACAACAACAGGGGAAGAATTGAGAGGAAGATGGCAGGAACAACAGGGAGACAGGAAGACAACAACTAGATGTGGGGAAGACAACAACAACAACTGAGTAACTTGGAAGACGACAACAACAACTAGATGACAGGAACAACAACTGGAGACAACAACAACAACTGGAGGACAGGGAAGACAACAAGAGACAGGAGGAGGCAACAACAACTATGGATAACTTGGGAGACACAAGAAACAACAACAACAACTGGAGTAACTTAGGGAAGAACGACAACAACAACAACAAGAGAGAACAGACATTAGGAAGAGCAGGGGAGACAGAAGACAGCAACAACACAACAGGAAGAAGACAACAACAACAACAGGGAGTAACTGGGAAGACGGGAACACAAGGGAAGACAGGAGACAAGAACAACAACAACAATAAGACAACAACAAAACAGGAGAGAAAACAAAAGATGGGGGGAAGACAACAACAACAACTGGTAACAGGAAGACAGCAACAACAGTATGACAACAATTTAAATCTGTTATATTTAAATATGAAGAAAAGGTCAAGTTTGGTGTATATACAGTGTTGTACTGAACAGCGTCCAAGACGAACAACATCGTCTGGCGTTATCCTCCATCCTGTAATAGTATATATAAATGGAAGCCCAGTGATGACCACGTGTGAGCAGACATTATTCTCTATATTCTTTCTAAATTTTGGGATATATTAAAAAAAGATAATTATGAATAGTGGTAGTTGGTGGTAGAAGATAGTAATGAATGGTGGTGGTTGGTGGTAGAAAGATAATATAGAATGGTGGTTGTTGGTGGTAGAAGATAGTAATGAATGGTGGTAGTTGGTGGTAGAAGATAGTATGAATGGTGGTAGTTGGTGGTAGAGATAATAATGAGGTGAGGTTGTTGGTGGTGAAATAGTAGATGGATGGTGGTGGTGGTGCAGAATGAATGAATGGTGGTTGTTGGTGGTAGAAGATAGTATGAATGGTGGTTGTTGGTGGTAGAAGATGGTTGAATGGTGGTAGTTGGTGGTAGAGATATGAATGGTGGTTGTTGGTGGTAGAAGATAGTAATGAATGGTGGTAGTTGGTGGTAGAAGATAGTAATGAATGGTGGTTGTTGGTGGTAGAAGATAGTATGAATGGTTGGTTGTTGGTGGTAGAAAATAGTATGAATGATTAGTTGTTGGTGGTAGAAGATAGTATGAATGGTGGTTGTTGGTGGTAGAAGATAGTATGAATAATTGGTTGTTGGTGGTAGAAGAATAGTAAGATAATTGGTAGTTAGTGGTAGAAGATAGTATGAGATAATTGGTTGTTGGTGGTAGAAGATAGTAATGAATAGGTGGTTGTTGGTGGTAAGATAGTATGAATGGTGGTGGTTGTTGGTGAGTAGAATAATATGAATGGTGGGTTGTTGGTGTGGTAGAGATGGTAATGAATGGTGGTAGTTGGTGGTAGAAGATAGTATTGAATGGTGGTTGTTGGTGGTAGAAGATAGTATGAATGGTGGTTGTTGGGTGGTAGAAGATAGTATGAATGGAGGTGGTTGTTGGTGGTAGAAGATAGTAAACAATACATGCTTCTAG